TGTTGCTGCTCTCATGGTTGCTCAATATCTCATGTGCATGGCGATATATACGTGCAAAGGGGTTACATTGAGCAAGCATGACCGAAAGCTCCCTAACGATCTCAGGATCAAGGCTGCTGTTTCGTGCTTGTCTTCTTTCAGCGGCATAGGAAGGATCAAATATAAATAGCTGGGCGTAGGAAGGCTCATTGCCTTCAACTGGAGTCAAGGGGGCCTTGACGGTGGCAAAGTGCGCCATGGATCTGGAAGGCGTTTAATCCACCTCTATTGTTATTGTTGTTGCTGCTGCTGCTGCTGCTGTTGTTGTTGTTGTTGTTGGCACGATCCTCAGGCGAAACAATATCGCAGCCCAACGAAGTAAAAGCAAAGGCAGCGTTATATTGACGAAGGTTGTCTTTAAAGTGACGACCTTGGGTGTCTGTGCGTTCGAGCAAGTCCTTCAAGTACTCAGGTGGATCAGGTAATAGTTGCAACTGGACTGCTCCTTGATTGCAGCATGACCCCCAGCTAGGATTTCTCATCGAAGATGTCTCTTGCCTTTCATCAATCCAGTGTAGGGCGTGACAGTGTGAGCATTCCTTGTCCATACGTCCAAGGTCCAAAGAACGAAGGCGGGATAACTGTGAGATGCATGCGGCTGGCATACTGTTGGCATGGTCAGGTCTGGGCCTGCCTCTGGGTCTACTCTCAGTATCAGCAGACTCGACTGTTCTTCTTGGTCTGCCTCTGGGTCTACCTTCAGCATCAACGGACTCGACTGTTCTTCTTGGTCTGCCTCTAGGTCTAGTAGCAACGCCAGCTTCTTCTTGTTGGTCTTCGGCACGACGTCTGCGGCGAGATGCTGCTACTCGTTCTCTGCATATTTGGCAGGTACGATAACGTGAGTCAACGGGTAAAGGTACATAGCAGGAAGAGCAGTTGGTTGTACTTTGGTTGTTGTTTTCCATTTTTTTTTCTAATAAGCGTCAAAATGGGAACACGATGTTAGTGAACAGGGGCTATATGAATTGACCTTTTATTCTCTTTTTCAAGGCATGTCCATACCTAATTCTTTTAAAAAGGACTTTATTGTAAAAATGAATATCAGGAGAGAAAGAGAGAGAGAGAGAGAGAGAGAGAGAGAGAAAGGGGAAGGTTCATATAATTGTAATCCAAGGCTCGGTTCGAACAAATTATAAAAAAAGACTCAATGTGCGGCTAATTTCCGGTAAAAGTTTGTGTTACTTGCATATATTCCGGCGTATTTTTTTTCTAATTCCAGTACATTATAGTGTGTTAAGTGTGTTATAAGTGTGTTATTCCATTGGAGTAGAAGGACGACGATGGTTATTGACTCCAGGCATCACTTGCTTCAATTGCTTTACTCCTCCTTGTAACGAAAGATTCTCTGGACCAATCAATGAATGATGAACATGTTCAATAGACTTGAAGTATTTTACAGTCTTTTTTTGATGTTAATATTATATCATTTATGATATATCTTTTATACCTTGACGTGTAATTCAAGCGTAGCATCTTCATCGCATACAATCAGACCTTTAGGATGCATCTGAATAGCAGATACAGTCCACATATGATTGACTCCTTCCTCAATACATTTGGCTAATGCAATAGCCTATTGTATAAAATTAGAAGGGAAAAAGGATCCAATGAAAAAAATAAATACCTTGTGTGCACCTGTGATAATGATCAACACTTCACGAGCATCCATAACAGTTCTATTGATGTGTTAGATCAGTTATGATTGACATCATTTTACTTACGCTACACCCACAGTAAGAGCAAGTTTAGGTACTTTAGATATATCACCATCAAAGAAACGAGCATTAGCAATAATCGTTTCATAAGCCAATGTCTTTACACGAGTACGAGATGTGAGAGAAGAACCAGGCTCGTTAAAGGCAATGTGGCCATCAGGACCGATACCACCCAAGAAGAGCTCGATACCACCCACCTTGGCAATCTCGGCTTCAAACTTTTTGCACTCTTCATCCAAGTCAGGAGCATTACCATCCAGGATGTGGACATTCTCGGGATTAATATCCACATGCATAAACAAATTCTTCCACATAAACGAATGATATGATTCAGGATGATCACGAGGCAAACCAACGTATTCATCCATATTAAACGTAACGACATGCTTGAAACTAAGTTCACCTGCCTTGTGGAAATCAACGAGTCGCTTGTATGTACCGATAGGAGATGAGCCTGTAGGTAAGCCAAGGACGAAGGGACGATTTTCATCAGGATTAAATTGCTTGATACGCTCTTTGATATAAGTAGCTAAAGAGACAATGGTTAGATAAAACAAGAGACTCTAAAATAGATACTTGCCTACAAAATCAGATACTTCTTCATAATCTTCTCGAATGATCAATCTCATTGCGACACGCTTTGGTTTTTATGAAAACAAAAAACAAAAAAAAAAAGAAATGCAAGGAAAAATCCATCAAACGTTCATTTTGCATCACGAGTCTATGTTTCATGTATTACGTAATGATATCATGTTCCCTTAAAAAGAATCAAGGGTCCAAGTATTCTATTGCTTGCTTGATAATGGAAGTTTCGAGAATGAAAGAAGGTAAAGACAATATCATCATCATAGTTTGATATACTTGCATCCCATGTGTGATGATGAAAGAAGAAAAGAGAATGAATTAATTTGATAAACATCACCTAGCCTCACCACATAGTTTCCTCAGGTGACACAGGCTACGTCTACTGAAATTCGCACATTGTTTATTTTTAGGGAGCTTTTGCTTTATGCAAACTATAGTTTTATGGAGGAACAAGATCCCTTTCTGATAGTTAAAAGGTTTTTATTTATTTGTTTATTAGTAGCACACCAAGAGAGTTACTCATTATTTGTAGTCAAGTGGAGGATAGTTTAGCTAATGCCAACAATCTATTTGAATCTTGGAAACGAATTCAACAAACCGTTTCTTCACCCAAGAATCAAGAATTGTTATGGACAGCAGATGAGCTTGGTTCAGCATTAGAAGCTATCGAACAAGATCTTGATGATCTCGAAGAAGCCTTTATGGCATCTCAAGCAAATCCCTCACAGTTTAATTTGACTCAAAAAGACCTTTCTTCCAGAAGACGGTTTTTGGATAATTCACGCAATAGAATACAATCCATAAGAAATACACTGGCTAATCCACCAGCCAAGAATAATAGTAATAAACATTTGGCCAATCAAGTAAAATAGATATAATTAGAGAGTGTTATTTTATTAAGTTTAAAAAAAAGTCTATAGAAACGATACGTCAAAATGAAAATAGTCGATTTATTGAAAGTGAACAGCAACAACAGACGGTATAAGATAACATGATGGATTCATCCCCGTTCTCATATTCTTTCTATTTTTCAATAGGTGATGATACAAGAACAAGATCACCATTTGGATGCTATGGGAAGTACCTTGATCAATTTAAAAGAGATAGCCGGAACGATGAATAGAGAGATTGATGATCATGTCATGTTGGTGTTATGTTTTATATCCCTAATTGATCTAATCATATTTAAATGTATATAGTCTACTGGATGATTTGGGTGAAAGAGTAGATCGATCAGAGGGGAGACTAAAGACGGCCATGAGACGAGTGACAGATATTTTGAAAAAGGAAGAAGGTACAAGTATAAAAAGAGAGCCATGTTCAACTGCTAACATCCTTTGTAGAATCCAAGTCAGGTTATTGTATCTGTTGCCTTATCATCGTGTTGATCATATTATTAGTCCTTGTCATCATCATGTAACTTTAAAAAATCGAGTTCTAGACAACAAAGAGAGATTTAGTAGCTATTTTATTTCTAAATCAGATTTTATCACTTTATTTCTCCTTTTTTCTCTCTCTTCTTTTACTTTTTTTCTGTTGTTATTTTTTTTTGCTATATATAAAAAATAGACTTTTTATGAGCAGTTTCTCTTCTTCTTCTCCTTTCAACTGGGAAAGTCAGGAAAAGTCTCGCACAAATTTAATAAAAAAAGTGCGTTCTTTTGAAACAGGTATACACTATACATATAACAAAATACATACAATAACATACAAAAGCATATACTTCAGAAGACGGTAGAACAATGCCCGAGGATTATGAGGAAGGTATTGGCCTGTTGAAACCAAATAATAATATGCCGACCAGTTTCGTTCCAGACTACTCTTTTTCTTCGAATGCCAACTTGTTAAATGCCACCGAAGTAACCGAAATGTTAGAACATACGCCTCAGACAGCCAAGGAAACCAAGGAAACTATCAACAAACGACCGTTTCGATGGAAACAGTGGTTCACTAAAAACACTGTCCCCGAAGGATCCCCTCGGAGGATATATGTGAATAAGCCAGAAATGAACGAACAACAACATTTTATGACCAACGCAGTATCCACAGCCAAATATAACCTATTTACTTTTCTACCCAAGTTTCTGTATGAAGAGTTTAGTAAATCAGCCAATGTCTTTTTCTTATTTATTTCCGGGATTCAGGTACTTTTTCTCTCTGTTTAAAAAAAATCTATTTTGGGAAACACAGCTGTTGACATGTATTATTATTATAGCAAATTCCCAATATTTCACCTACATCAAGATACACCACACTCGTCCCGCTTGTCATTGTCTTGTTGATCACAGCGGTTAAGGAAATTATTGAAGATTTCGTATGTAATATAAAATATCTATGTCTGTTCTCTCTCACCCTCCTTTGATCTTAGGGAGTACATAAGTCGGATAGTGAACTCAATGCTCGGAAATGCAAAGTGTATGATGGATCACGATTTATTGAAAAGCCCTGGAGGCAAATAAAAGTAGGAGACATCTGTAGAGTGGACAATGCTCAATTCTTTCCTGCCGATCTGATCTTGCTTAGTAGCTCCGAGCCTGAAGGTCTATGCTACATTGAAACAAGCAACCTGGATGGGTAAAAAGTGCGATAAAATATGTCTATTTTTTCTCTCATCCGATAGATCTTGTTTTTTAGTGAAGTCAATCTTAAAATCAAACAAGCCTTACCCGTGACTGCGACCATGGTGTCTCCTGCACAATTAGCCACTTTTGAAGGCATCATTGAATCCGAACAACCCAACAACCGTTTATATAACTACGACGGTACCTTGACGACAAAGAATGAAGACGGTAATACAAAAAGGTTTCCCCTAGATCCAAACATGCTACTTTTAAGAGGCGCTCAGTTACGAAACACAAGCTGGATTTATGGTATCGTCATCTTTACGGGACATGAAACCAAATTGATGCTCAATTCAAGCAAGAAGCCAACGAAGGCTTCAAACGTCACTCGAAAGACAAATAGAAACATCCTCTATCTCTTTGCTATGCTCGTGACCATGAGTGTTCTATGCTCTATCGGGAATTATGTGACATCTGTAAGTGTTTGGGCTCATCTTGTATTCAACACACTAACCCCTTTCTAGACAAGAAATGGAGCTAATCTCGACTATGTAGGGGTCCCCATTACACAGCTAGGAAAGGAAGTTGGATACAATATCTTGACATTTATGATCCTGTTCAATAGTTTCATTCCCATCAGGTACATACACACATATACCCACATACACAATTGAACACTATCATATAACAAAGAGAAAGCTAACGTAAAGGCCCTCAGTTTGATGGTAACTATGGAAATTGTCAAATACATCCAATCGACCATGATTGACAATGACTTGGATATTTACTATGACAAGACAGACACGCCCGCTGTAGCACGCAGCAGTAGCCTGATCGAAGAACTCGGCCAGATCGAATATGTCTTTTCGGACAAGACAGGGACCTTGACCTGTAACGAAATGGAGTTTCGACAATGTTCCATCGCCGGCCTATCCTATGCCAGTCATCCAGATCCAGATAAACGACCGACATCAGATGACGATGCAAATGGTCAATTCTCGTTTGAACAACTAGAAGAGCACCTTCGGACATCTCAACATAACCATATTATCAATGAATTTCTTACCTCCTTGATGACCTGTCATACCGTCATTCCTGAAACAGAGAACGGGGCGATCATTTACCAAGCCTCTTCCCCTGATGAAAGTGCACTAGTGAAAGGAGCCAGCGATGTGCTTGGATACAAGTTTGTTGCCAGACGACCACATTCGATCCATTGCATTCGTAAAGGGACTGAAGAAGAATATCAGATCCTGAATGTGTGTGAGTTCAATTCGACTCGTAAACGCATGTCTGTCGTCCTTCGTGGGCCCGATGGCAAGATCAAACTGTACTGCAAGGGTGCTGATACAGTCATCCTGGAGCGATTGGCGAAAGGCTCAAACCCATTTGTCTCGGCGACTCTCTCACATTTGGAGGTAATGATTTTGATTAGCGATCAAGCAAATGCTCATTTTCTTGTAGGATTATGCTTGTGAAGGTTTACGAACCTTGTGTTTTGCCATGCGCGAGATATCAAATGAAGAGTATACAGAGTGGTCTGTTATGTACGACAAGGCAGCTACGACACTTGTCAACCGTGCAGACGAATTGGATCATGCGGCAGAGATGATTGAAAAAGATATGCTCTTGTTGGGAGCAACTGCTATTGAAGATAAATTACAGGATGGTGTGCCTGATACGATTCATACCTTGCAAGAAGCCAACATCAAGGTCTGGGTCCTCACAGGGGATCGACAGGAGACGGCGATCAATATTGGGTATAGTTGTAAACTGTTGACTGAGGATATGGAATTGGTCGTCTGTAATGAAGAGGATCAAATCTCGACAAAAAAGTTTCTGCAAGAAAGACTAGGACAGCTCAGTACGCAGATACAACAGGATGTAAGTAAGATAAAAGATTCAAGGCAACATTCATTCACAATGATCATATTAGCCACTAGCCCTTGTCATCGAAGGAAGGTCACTTACATTTGCTCTAGAAAAAGATGTAGAAAAGACATTTTATGACCTTGCCACACAATGCAAGGCAGTGATCTGTTGTCGAGTATCTCCACTACAAAAGGCACTTGTTGTCAAATTAGTAAAAAAGTTTTCAAAATCCATCTTGCTAGCGATTGGTGATGGTGCGAATGATGTGTCCATGATTCAGGCTGCCCATGTTGGTGTAGGCATCAGTGGTGTCGAAGGTCTACAAGCTGCTCGGAGTGCCGACTTTGCCATATCTCAATTCAGGTTCTTGAGAAAGCTTCTTCTGGTTCATGGTGCATGGGCATATCAGCGTCTGAGCAAAATGATCTTTTTTTACTTTTATAAAAATGTGGCCATGTACTTGACACAGTTCTGGGTAAGAGAGATAGAGATAAAATTAGGTGCTTTGAAGCTTAGTTATAGTTATAGTATGCTATCTTTAATGGATTTTCAGGACAGACATTATACGAATCTTGGACCATGTCTTGCTTTAATGTCATCTTTACCTTTTTACCACCCATGGCGATCGGTGTGTTTGACCAGTTTACTTCGGCCAGATTGTTAGACAAGTACCCACAGATGTACACACTTGGTCAACGTAATGAATTCTTTAATCAAAAGCGGTTTTGGGGCTGGATATTTAATGCGGTATATCACTCTGCTGTAAGTTGTTACTTAAAGAAAAAAAAAAAGCCATAACTAAAAGTTGCTGTAGATGCTCTATTTCTTGGGTATGGCTGCTTTTGCAGATGATTCTGTATTTACCAACGGACATTCTGGAGGACAATGGTGGGTTGGAACAACGATATTTACGGCTACGTTAGCAACCATTCTCTGGAAGGCTGCCTTAATCACAGAGTGAGTGTGATTTTAGTTGAAGAAAACAAATACTTATTTCTCGTAGTATTTGGACAAAGTACACATTTATTGCTATTCCAGGATCAATGGTCATTTGGTTTATCTTTTTACCACTTGTATCCTATGTTGGCCCACTTCTTCCCGTGGACATCTTTATGGAATACTATGGCATTATTCCAGAATTGTTTGGAAACATAAACTACTGGTTATTTTTCATCATTGTTCCCTTGATGTGTGTCCTTCGAGATTACTTGTGGAAATAGTAAGTTGAACACTCCAAAATTTAAGATATTCACATTTTTGCTAGTGTCAAGCGTATGTATAGGCCACAAAGTTACCATTATATACAAGAAATACAGAAATACAACCTTCCTGATTATCGACCTCGTATGGATCGATTCCGTCGTGCGGTGAACAAGGTACGCAAGATCCAACGACTTAAACAATCAAGAGGATTTGCGTTTGCACAGAACGATAATGATCAATCAAGATTGATCCGTATGTATGATACAACACGACAAAAGCCTTCTGGTTAAAGAAAATAAAGTTGTGGAGTTTCAAACTACACGAGTTTTTATGAAAGCATGATTTTCCTTTTCTCTTCTTTCTTTTTTTTTTTGGTCTTTGTATAAAGCAATAATTAACAGCATATGCCAGAGCAAACCAAAGTACAGGATACAAGAGGCTCTGAAAACACGGAAGAATCTGTTCAATTGACTGAAGAAACCCATTCAGAACAACAACAACAACAAGCTGTTCCTGTGAATGAGCAGTTGCCAGAGAATGTTTCAACATTAAAAGAAGCATTCCCTGATATTGATGTAGATATTATTGAGGCCATACTTCAAACACAGAATGGTAATGTCGAATCATCGTTTGAAGTACTATTAGGCATGTCTGATCCCAACTACCAACCTACACCTCCTCCTATGCCTCCACGACCTCAGACAAATACTAATGCACCTTATACTTATTATGAACAACCACAAGCGACAACGTTAGAGGAACAGCTTCGGTTGGATGAAGAGTTTGCCAAGAAATTGGCTATGGAAGATGAATTAAGAGCCAGACAACGTAAGAGATAACAATGAGAGAGAAGGGGCTTTTTATCTCATAGCCGTTAGGTCGTCAACAACAACCTGCGAGACAAGACCAAGAAAGAAGTGAACAAGATTCTATTTTCAATCTCCAAGGTAAAATAGATATATGCAACAACAATGAAATATAAATACACTATATTAGAGGAATTGCCAATTATAAAAGAAAAAGTAAAGGAAGCAGGCAATGGTAATATGAAAACAAGATAATCATACCTTCCTTACTAACATGTATGCAGCTGCTAAACGAAAAGTACTTGATCTCTATAACCAATTCAAAGCTTCCAGAAATAACAACAGTTTTAATTCAAATCCATCAGCTGGTGGGTCATCAATACCAACAACCAACGCTCACTACAAGTAACGTGTGTGTGTGGAGATACTGTTGAAACCGAGTTTGCTTAATCTTTTTGTTGCTGGTAGGGGATTACCAAGTGATGATGGGGACGATCTTTTGACGGGAGATATATCAGCACTTCACTTGTCAGATTATGATGTATATACAAAGACGAACAACATCATCAAAAGACAAAATAGCGAAAAGAGTGAGTGATAATAAAATAGAATGCAAAGGAGTGACAGCTGACGTTTATAGATAATGATGTAATTCATGTACATCCACCTGCAGGAAATATGTCTATACACACTTCCACACCAGATGAACAGCTTAGGGCAGACGAAGATTTCGCTAGGCAACTTGCAGAACAAGAGGAGTTAGGTAATATTTACCTTGATGTATCATCAAAGAGTTCTTATATTTTAAATGCAGAAGCCATAAGAAGACGACAGACATCGGAACGTAACGAACCCCAACCACCTCAAATGCCTGCCAGAAAGCAAGGTGGTCCAACGGTAGTTATTGCACCCAAGTCGCCATTGGAACTAGATGAATATGACTATGAAGGTACCTTTTTGAAGAAAAAAAAACAGAAAGAAAGAAAAAGAATAAAGAAATTGTTATATAACAGAGGTCAGATTAAATGCGGCACCACCTGCTAAGCCAGAGGAAAAAGATGTTCATACGACACAAGCAACCAATTCAGTGCCTTATGTTATTGGAGACGATGAAGATTCAGATTCAGATGATTTGGTTGATGCAGATAATGATACAGAAAAAGGGAATACAAACAAAGGTAAATGACAATAACAGCCATCTTTTGATATTAACAAACAAATAGACGACACAAAAGAATTGGCTAAGAAAGTCATCTAGAATCTTTAATAAGTGTGGTTTTGCTTTATAATACAAAATATACTATATCAATGGATTAGAAATGTATCCAATGAAGAACAAGATAAATGATCTCTCCCCTTTATATGTATAAAATATTTTAAGTGGCTTGATTGAAGATCAAGATAAGCAAGTTATTATCCAACTAATTTATATCATCAGAATCATACTCTGAGGAGAAAGCAAACGGGTCTTGTTCAATCTTTGAGAAAACTTCTTTCATTTTGCAAGCCATTCAGATGGCCAATGAGAGTTGAGCATGTCGCGTTATATATGTTAATAACGTGTTTTGTAGTCAGCTGTATGTACGGCTAAACAATTTTATTTATAAAATATAATGGCCACAAGGGACACATGATATTTTTATTATATCGTTTTTGCCCTGGCCAGTTCAAGTTGTGAGATAGAATCTAAAAATCCCTCTGGGCTCGAGAGCAAAAAATGCTTTGGCTGACAGATTCACGGAACAAGTGTTAAAAAACACTGCTATAAAGAATTAAATAACCATTTAATCAGTTTCTGCCCTGGGTCAGATGGTGATGGTGGCTCTTTTCCATGGTATATGTGATCAAGCTCATGTAAGATAGCGCAGATTAC